CCAAAAAAGAAACATTATTTCTATCAGCAATCATTCCTCAATCTCCCTAGTCTCCAACTTCTGGCAGCCACCAATCCACCTTTTGTCTCTATGATTTGCCTGTTCTGGATATTTCACATAAGTGGAATTATATAATACACAGGCTGTTGTGTCTGGCTTCTTTCACTTAGCGTGTTTTCAAAGTTCCTCCGTGTTGTAGCATGCATCACTACTTCATTCCTTTTTAAGGCTGAATAATCTTCCATTGTATGGATATACCACATTTTATTTATCCATTCATTGGTTGATGGACATTTTGACTGCTTCTGTGTATTGACTATTAGGAACATTCATGTACAAGTTTTTGTGTGGACATATGTGCTTTATCTCTCTTAGGTATGTGCCTAGGAGTGAGCAAAACTTTGAGACTGTTTTCCAAAGTGGCTGCACCATTTTACATCCCCATCAGCAATGTCTGAGAGTTCCATCTTCTCCATAGCCTCACCAAAACTTATTACTTATTATCTGTCTTTTTTATTATAGTTCTCCAAGTGGTTGTGAAGTGGTATCTCACCATGGTTTTGATTTGCATTTTTCTGATGGTCGACAATGTTAAGCATCTCTTCCCGTAACTTATTGGTCATTTGTGTATCTTCTCTGGAGAAATGTCTGTTCAGATCCTTTGCATGTGTTTTCATTGGGTTATTTGTATTTTATTATTTCAGTTTTTTTAATGTTTATTTATTGGGGGGGCACATGCATGCACACGCACGTGCGCGCTCACACACACACATACACACACACACACAAGCTGGGGAGGGCCAAAGAGAGAGGGAGAGAGAGAAGCCCAAGCAGGCTCTAAGCCTGGCTGGCCTGCATGGTCAGCTCAAAAGTTCCTCCCCCCACTCTCCTGCCTCTCTTCACAAGGCATTTGGCCAGTAGAGATCTGGGTTGTTCTGGCTGAGGTGTCCTAGTCCAGGGCAAGGTAATAAAAGAGGAAACTTGGTGGGATGCATCTGGCCCCTCAAAGAGATTTAAATCCAACCAGTTCTCCTCCTGCCCCCACCCCGCTTTTTCTCCCTTCCTTCTTCATCTTGCAGAGTCAGTATTTGGGCGGTTATAATTCTCTCTGGATCCACCTCTAGCCACATTGCACCAGCACTCCTTTATACCTCTGTCATGCCTGCCACTCTCCTGCCGCTTCCTCAGCACGATTGATGACGAAATGGTGCAGGATGGGGGATATCTGTCCTGTTGGGTAGGGCAGGTGCAGCAGTCTGGCCTTCCTGGCGGCTTCTCTGGTCACTCTCGTATGTTCTTTATGGAGCCAACCGGAGTGTTGCTGAGCTGCAGGCACAGATTTTGCTGGTGGACTGTGGCATTTCCAGTCCTTGCCTTGAGGAGACCGAAGGGGGAGCAGGCCGTAAATCAGAAGGTAGATTTTTGTGAAAGGTTTCACATAAGCCCACCTGCTGCACAATACCTGCTGCTTTGATTGTCTTTTGAAATATGGCCCCCAGCTGGGAGCTTTTCTTTGTGAATCAGAGTGATAAAGCCAAGTCTGACTTCATCTCTGTGGGGTGCCGGGGGTGTTTCTCCATTGCCTCCCTGTGGGGTAGGGACAGCTTCTGCGCTGAGGCCCACTTAGCTCACTGCCACCACAGCTAACTGTGCAAACTCGGATCCGTTACCCCGCTTCCATGAGCATAACTTCCTCATTTGTTAAATAAGGATGCCTCCCTCCTAGTGGTGGGAGCGGTAAGGATCTGATAGGCCAGTATTCATTATTATCAACGGTAACCCTAGTTAACCATCTAGTGAATGCTTGCTTTGTGGCAGTCCCTATGTTATTAAATCAAGCGGCAGTAAAGGAAAAGATTTCATGATCTCCGGGGCCACACACTGGAATGTTCTGAGCCTCTGCTCTATGTTTAATCCCATGCCGGTCTTCGTGCGTATTTTCAGTTCTTTGAGGTTTGAAGGATGCCAATTAATTGTACCGTCTCCCCATACAGCTACTACACAGAGGGGTCAGGTAGAGATAAAAACAGATATTGTAGGGATGCCTGGACGGCTCAGTTGGTTAAGCGTCCCATTTCAGCTCAGGTCATGATCTCGCGGTTCGTGGGTTCGAGCCCCTCATCGGGCTCTGTGCTGAAGCTCAGAGCCTGGAGCCTTTTTCAGATTCTGTGTCTCCCTCTCTCTCTGCTCCTCCCCAGCTCACACTCTGTCTCTCTTTCTCAAAAATAAATAAACATTTAAAAAAAAATTTTTTTTAATAATAAAAATAGGGGCGCCTGGGTGGCGCAGTCGGTTAAGCGTCCGACTTCAGCCAGGTCACGATCTCGCGGTCCGTGAGTTCGAGCCCCGCGTCGGGCTCTGGGCTGATGGCTCAGAGCCTGGAGCCTGTTTCCGATTCTGTGTCTCCCTCTCTCTCTGCCCCTCCCCCGTTCATGCTCTGTCTCTCTCTGTCCCAAAAATAAATAAACGTTGAAAAAAATAATAATAATAATAAAAATAAAAAATAGAGATTGTATTGTAGGTAAAGGCTAGACCAACACATGGCCCAGACCTACAGCCAAAATGCACCTTTGCTCCCCACTTCCCTCCCATCCCCCTCCTCTTTTTCTGTTGCCCAAGTTAAATCCTGGTTCCAGGCTGCACAGGCAGCAGCCTAGGGAGCAGGGGCACTAAGGAGCAGTTGTCCCAGGGGATTGATTTGGGGATGGTGACATCAGTCTTTTAGCTGCTTCCATGAGTGTAGGCTCTTCTGGGTGTGTTCCAGGTAGTACTGGCCCCGCTGCAGGGTCACCAACCCTGCTTATCTCACTGTGAAGACTTGCATGTCTAGAATGTTGGTGCTGTTTCCAAATCTGTGTTCCACAGGCATCGTGAAACATTTTGCCCATTCCTATTCTTCATAGTCACTTACAGCTCTGTGACTATACAAAAGTGGGTCATTCTGAGCCCAGGATCCCTCACCTGTGAAGTAGGGATGGCAATATCCAACCGATAGGATGTTGAAGGAATGGACAGAAGATACTTGGTTAGGGCCTGGCACATAATGGGCCCTTGGGGGGCCATCCTGCTATGTCTGGTTCAGTACCCTGAGAACTCAAAGCTTTCAGTCCAGACTTGGAGGCTTCTCCCCGTGTGCTGAGCATGTCTCTTTGGGAGCCAGTGGTCAGGGCCAGGTCTATGTGCTGGAGTTGGAAATGTGGATTTGGGAAAAGATGAGGCCTCAACAGAAGTGGGTCCTCGAAAGACCAGCACTGGTGCATGGATGGATCCAAAGAGGTTCATTTTGTGGTGGGATTTCAATCCCATGTTTCAGACCTCCTCCAGGTTGGGGGCGGGAGGGCTGGGGTCGTTAGCGGAAGTGCCAACAACCCAGAGCCTCCCTTCAAATCCATATTTAGGACTGCCTAAGGCAAAATGATGAAGTAAGCAATGGTTCCCCCAAGGCACCTGCTTCCTCTTTCTGCACCCTAATCTACTCTTTCAGCGCCCTTTCCCAGCCAACTAGGAAGATGAGTGTCTGAAAATGAATTCAAAGAGGGCAGCAAAATGTGAGCCAAATCAGGCTCACCACCTTTTGTTGTACAGCTCGTAAACTACAAATGGTTTTTATGTTTTTAAATGGTTGGGGGAAAAAAACCAAAAGAAGAATATTTTATGACATGTGAAAACCACATGACATTCAAATTTTACTGGAACATTAAAAGTTTACATATTGTCCATGGCTGCTTCCAGCAGAGTTGAGTAGTTGTGACAGAGACCTGAAGACCCCCAATGTCTGAAATATTTATTATCTGGCCTTTTAAGAAAACGTTTGGTGGGGTGCCTGGGTGGCTCAGTCGGTTAAGAGTCCGACTTCAGCTCAGGTCATGATGTCACAGTCTGTGGGTTC